GGGCTTCAGGCTTTAAAACTGTAACCTCCATGTCGCGGCAGTTGACTGGTCACGTTATCTGCGTTGGATTCTCCGAGCGGTGCACAAGATTCGAAAGCGTGTTCACATACAAGCCTCCTCCTCGTGCACTACGAATGCCAGAGCGGTGTCACACCGCTTGCACAGTTTAGCTGGGCGCACGCCGGAGCGCGATAGTAGAAGGAAGGTCTTTGGAAGAGCGCTGACTGGTAGGCCCATCCTCGATCGGCACAAGCTCAGCAGGAGGAAACGATTCAGGTTTGGCGGCTCTGTCACGCGACTGGCACCGCGTCAGCAGCGCCAGCCAGTCGGTTCACGGGCACGGTCTGCGTTTGAACAGACCTACCGGTCTGGTGACCCCTCTCTTCGAGGTCACAATGGTAGACCGAGGTCACGACCGAGCTCTGAGTCAGCGGATCAGTGCTCTGACTACTGGCCCCGCGAAATCCGAGTAGGTCTCAACTCTGTGCATTAATTGTATAATGAGTAACCTGCCAGCAAATGAATGGTTAAGATGGTCAAGACGGACAATGGCTAAGATTGTCCGGCGACAAAACCGAAGAATGCAAACATGTTCTGTGCCCATATATTGGCAGCATGTGTTCGCGCGCATCGTTTGTGGCAGCGCATCAGAAAGCCTCTTCGCGGTGGGACGCCATAAAGCGAGACCTAGTTTTAGAACAGAGTTCTAGAAAGTAGATCAACCATAACGTGAAACCCGTTGGTACCGTGAACAACTAGCAAAGGGGCAACTTGTGTTTTGCGCAGGTATGCTGACTAGAATCAGTGTATGGTTTTTATGTAATGTGGTGTGCTCGGCTCTGTGCTGAAGTGGATTGTGCTTAATGCAGCAGTGGAAGTGAATGAGGAGTAATGACAAAGAGAAGAATGTCATGATTAACAAAGTGATGAATGGAGATTGTGCTTGTGTTGCTTATGCTTAATAAAGAAGTGAAGTGAACTTGGGTGTTCGCAGCAAGAAAAACGTTCAGGCTTAAATGAGGAACTAAAATGAATTACGAATAGCTCATGAACCACAGCAAATTCAAAGCAAGATTGAGGGTAGCATGTATGGAACTGAATTGTGAGTAGCTTAACCAAACTCAGCTGGTGCACTTTTGATGGAGAGCGATTAGAGTATGAAACGAAAGGCTTTATATTTGTTGCAAATCATATGCACAGTCTACACAATAGTGATACAGCAACTAGTGTTAAACCCATCGTCGTTCTGTGATGACTTCGACACTGGCGGGGGAAGCAACAACCTCACATATCCCTCCGGAAACGCTGGACTCGACTGACCACGCCCAGCAGCCGCTGTGGACAAAGGTAAATGCCGGCAGAACGCCAGGTGCGACACGGGGCTTGCGATGCCTCAACATATGTGACGGGTTGTACACTGATGTCA